AGTTTATATGGTGGTTTGTTAAAAAAAATAGTTTATATGGTGATGCGCCAAAACCGTGATAGTTCGGATGAGAAAAAAGTATTTTACCCTAAAAATTATGCTATATGATACATTTTTATTATATTTTCCATACCTTGACTAAATTCAAATTTCAAAACTTCCAACGGACTTCTTGGCACAAGGGTTTTTTCTTGCAATCGTTCCTTGTTCCACGCACCACCCCACTCTATAAATACATCATTTTCTCTCGCCCCAAAGACACTTGTTATCCCCAAAATCCAGCTCTCGCGAGAAAAAATCAGTGATCTTAAGACCTCCAAATCTTAAACCCTATGGATTTCCATAGCCTTACTAGGAGAGAATTGCAGGCGCTCTGCAAGAAGAACAAGATCCCAGCTAACATCACTAATGTCGCCATGGCTGAAGCTCTCCAAGCTCTCAAGATCGTAAGTTTGCTGGTTCAATTGCTATTATTATTCTTCTTTTTGTTGTTTTTTCTCTCGATCTGTAAATATTATCATCGACTCATGAGTACCCTTCTAGACATTTTCGGATTTGATTTGTTCTGGTGTTTCTCATTATTGGTTGGTGCTGTACATGTTCGTTGGATTTTGGATTTTGTGTTATGGTCTTCTTAGATGAATTGGATAGTATAAAGAGATGTAAGAACCGATTGCGATGAAGTTAAGGTTTAGTTTTACCTGAAAACTCTTATAATTTGAGGTTCATGTATTTTCTCTCTATTTCTAATCAATACATATATGCGTAGATGATTTGTGAATTCTTTTTCATTCCTGAAAGTGTTGTAGTGTTTCTGTTACAGATTCCTTGTGCTCTCTGGTCCTTGTCTGATTAAGATTAATTTTCTATGTTTTTAATTTATTTAAATTTATGATTGGCAGGTTGAAGGTACTGAGGAATTTATGCAGACATCCCAGTCTGGAACTGCACAATCCTCAATGGAATCACTTGAAATGGCAGAAGTGACATCTCCACTTGTGCCTCCAACTGCTGCCAGGAGCACACGGCGCACAAACATCGCAAAAGAAGCTCCCCAGAGTGTGAATCCGACAACCAGGACTAGACGTACAACTCGAAAGACCCAATTTAAAGATGCTGATGTAACGGAAACTCTAGCAATGTCAGCACAGACTAAAAAGAAAGGTCCGATGACCTCGGCTTGTAGGAAAATGGATTCTCAGTTCATGGAATGTGTGGATGACGACAAAAAGGGCATGTTGGTGACCCCTGCAGCTACTAGTAGGAGGAAAAGAGTGGACGAAAGCACAGTTAAAAGTATATATAGCACAAGGCGGTCTTCAAGGCTAGCCGAGAAGCGTAATGTGATGTTGAATGAGGTTGAAAATGAAGAATCTCAGATTTCCAAGAAGAAACTGGTTGCTCAAGAGAAGAATCTGAAATATGGTGTGGAAGATTTTGCTGAACTCTCGGGCATTACTGGTATATTTGTCTACGCTTTCTTTCTTTGTTCATTGTAAATCTTAAATGTATTTCATTTCACACGATTATTTAATTCCCGTTCTTTGGTTGTGATACTATTTGGGATGCGGGATGTTCTGATTCTTCAGATACTTACTCGATGACAGCCATTGAGGAGAAGTTTGAGGATAAAGATGAAGCGGAAGTTGTTTCAGTTCAAAAGCAGGAAACATCAATTGGTAAAGATGAATCTGGAGATATTTTGGGCAAAAAGCTTGACACATCAACTGGTGAGGAGATTGAAGGTATATCTGTCTACACTTTCATTCTTTGTTTATTGGAAAACTTAAATGTATTTCATTTCACATGATTATTTAGCTCTCGTTCTTTGGTTGTGATACTATTCGGGATGCGGGATGTTCTGATTCTTCAGATGTTGATGCAATTACAGCCATTGAAGAGAAGTATGAGGATAGAGAGGAACCAGGAGCTGTTTCAGTTCAAAAGCAAGAAACATCAATTGGTAAAGATGAATCTGGAGATATTTCAGGCAAAAAGCTTGACACATCAACTGGTGAGGAGATTGAAGGTATATCTGTCTACACTTTCTTTCTTTCTTTATTGTAAAACTTAAATGAATTTCATTTCACATGGTTATTTAGCTCTCGTTCTTTGGTTGTGATACTATTCGGTATGCAGGATGTTCTGATTCTTCAGATGTTGATGCAATGACAGACATTGAGGAGAACTTTAAGGATAAAGATGAAGCAGAAGTTGTTTCAGTTCAAAAGCAGGAAACATCAATTGGTAAAGATGAATCTGAAGATGTTCCAAGCAAGAAACTTGACACATCAATGGGTGAGGAGATTGAATTGGGAACACATGCTGAAGAGGAAAAATTCACCAACTTTGAGAATGAAGATTGTGGTGAAAACACAGATATGCTACTGATAGTCAGCAATGAAGTTCTTCAACAATCTAATGGTGTGTCTCTCGTCAGCCTGCCTTCATAATTTTATTAGATATATGTTAGGTTTTACTGTCGTACGAACTCATAAAAAAATAATAATTTTACAGTGTCTCAAGATGTTTGCATCTCTGAAACTGAGACTATTGTTCAGAAAAACATTGAAGAACTAAAATGTGTGGAAGCATCTGAAGTAGCTAACTTTGTAAACATTTTTAATTTGGAAAGTGGAGGTAGTGTGCTAATTATGATCTAGTTTTGAAGGTTAATGTGTTTTGATAAGATAAATTTTGAGCATTTATGTTAACAAAGATTTCCTTGCAGTAGCTCAAGATGTATGCAACTCTGAAACTAAGAATCAGACGAACACTGAAGAACTGAACAGCGAGGAACGTGAAGCATCAGAGGATGAAGCTGCTGAGTTTGTTGAAAATGTGATTCTTGAGTGTGGAGGTAATAACGTGTGTATGTTGATCATGAAGTAGTTACATGAGGGTAAATGTGTAGAATTGTATCAGATAAATGTTAAGACCTTTTATGCCTTACAGAAGTTGATGAAGATTGCCCTGTTGCGTCTGAAGATGTTTGCCCATCTGAAGAGACTACAGTTGAGAAGAACATTGATGATCTGATAGCTGAGGAAGGTGAAGCATCTAGAGTTGAGGATGCTGATAGTGTTGAAAGTGAAGGTAATGAGGGTTAATTACAATAAAAGACTTGATATCTAATCTATTGACATTGTTTTGGATTACCTGACCTTTGAAAGATCACTGGAATTTATTTGGTGATTAACCTGAAACTTAGGATATAGATTGTAATTTAACGTTAATGTATTGATTGTGAATGTTACACATTTTGTAGTTTATTTTATTGAAGCTTTTCTTTCTTTTACATTTCAGATGATACTGTAGTTGATGACTCCCGCTGTGACAATGCTGGTTTTCAAAACAAGGATGATGAAGAATTTGAGAACGAGCATAACGTGGTAGAAGTCGTTCAACTCGAAAGGGAAAATGCTGCTTATATAATTGCTGACTCTAATTTTATTGACCATTCGGGTGCTTCAGTACAGCTGAATGATGATGAGCCTAACGAAATGGATATTCATCAAAATGAAGAAACAAAACTTACTGATCTAGTGCCGTCAGATAAATCATATGCTGATTTCTGTGAGCAGATTCTGAAATCTGACTGTGAAAAATTAGAAATTGAGCCTGAAGAAACTAATGAGCCCACCAAATTAGAAATTCATCCTCTTGAAGGAAGAGAAAAAGCAGCTGATCCATCCGATGAATCACTCACTGATTTCTCATCTGTTGCGTGTGTTGAGACGAGCCATGCTGTTGTTCTGCAGGGTTGTCCGACTCCAAGTAAAAGTCCTGTGAGCAAATCCTTGATGAAAACCAAGAGCAGGGCTTGCTTTTCAGATAATAAGGAGAATTTCGGCAGTGGGGCTAAATTGATCATCATGAAAGACGCAAGGGTCGTAAAGAAGAAGGTCGATGATGCTAAGGATTTGAAGGATTTGAGCCTGAGAAAGCTCACGAAGATGTTTAAAGAAAAATTGGAGATTTCGAAGAAGGAAAGCCAGAATGAAAATGGCAGCGAGGTAAAAGGGTCTTTTCTTATGTGTCGTTTCCGCCTTCCGTTTTCTTGTTTGGATTTTCCTGAAATTGAACTCATTGAATTTTGTTTGTGTCGTTTGCAAACAGGCAATAACAAGACCAGCTCTGCAGGCAATTTCCGAGAACAGACTGGTGGATGAAACTCAAAACTGATAGCTGGATCCTCCTCCCTCTTGCAGAACAATTTTAAGATAACTTTCGATTACGCATTTCAGATGGATTTTTGAACCTTCTTGGTTTTTGCCTCTGAGGACAAAGGATTCTGACTTCTCTCTGTATTGGAAACTTTGTGATAGCTGCTTGGTTATGTGGTTTCTACCATCATTGTGTAGTAGCTGGGATCTGTGGTTCATGCCATCATTTTGTAATACATCATTACTGCTTGATAATAAGAGTTTTTACTTTTCTTATATGTGTTTGGTCTCTACAATCTGTTCTAATATAAATAGGTGTTGCAAGTTGCAAACAGTGACACTTGCGTTCTGTTTCATTAAGATAATTTGGTGACCTTGAAATATTTTCCCTTCAAAAGTTGGAATTGTGGAAAATGTTTTGTGAGAGTTGAGATGAAAAAGAAAAAAAAAAGGAAGAAATTGAAACCTTTTCAAATACAATAGCTCGAGTTTGACTCGAAATCAAAATGCTCGAGCTCGGCTCGAGTTTGACTCGGAAATTTTTAAGTGAAAAAGTAAAATTAACACATATGTTATATTATTTAAATATATAAGGAGTATTATCGTAATTTAATATATATCTCGAGGCGTTCGACAATGCAAAATATAGCTCGACTCGAGTTCGATTAAACACGAGCTCGACTCGTTTGCATACCTAGTGCGAATACACTTCTTCCCATTACAACATTTTCCTAATGCACCAAAATCATCGTATGATCTCTTTCCAAGGAGGCTTGGGGGATTTTTATGTCTTAGATTAAATAATCATCAGTCAATTTTTGGTGTCTAAGTATGATCTTCTTCCTAATGCACGAACACTAGATTACTTCATATTATAAAATTCTAATGTATATAAAGAAAAAGGGTAACATAAACTTCAATAGTAATGTTAAAAATTCTTCAATTAGGCAGCACAATTTGTTACGATCATTCTATTTAATTGTAACGCCATTCTGTTTACAGAAAAATAATTGTAACGCCATTCTGTTTACAGTAAAATGTGCTTGTACTGTGAATAAGACTGTAAATAAACCCAAATGTTCTTTTATTAATTAAGTCGAGCTCGAACAAAAAATTAGACTTGTTTGTTTATCTAAAGCATCAATCTATTCACAAGCACTCACATGTATTAATTTTATATACAATTTATTAATATATTTGTATAACAATATTAATAGAAAATTACAAAATGAGATACTTGCGATTGGATCAAATGAGTCCCTATTTTTAAAATGAGAATGTGATACTCAATCTTAACCATTAAATTGGAAAAACATGTGCGACCAATATTTAATTTCTTATTTTTTTTTTAATTATTTAAATAATGATTGACAGTGCGACATTAGCCGTTGACGAGATGAGACTGACGTTGCATTTGATATCAATCAAGTATGCATTATGTATGAATTAAATGTATAATTTTAAAACTGACAGTTGCACCGTTGCCGCTAGCAAAGTATGCAATTGATATAACCAAGTATACTTTGTATATGAATCAATATGTATTATGTACATCAATTTTGGAACTAAGTATGCAATGGTATAAACTAAGTTTGTTATTATTGTGTATGGATCAAATCCGCATTATGTATGTTCAAATATGCAATTGATGTTTACTAAATATACAATTATGTATGAACTTAATATGCATTTTATAGAACTTGTTGGTGAAATAGATTTCATCCAGACTCCTTTAACTCGGGCTTGACCAATACCATCATGTCATGTGTCCCAGCCCATGTGTAGGCTTATTCTCCAATATATTCCTTTTCATCCATAAAAACATGTCTAGTATAATATCTCATATCATCTAGTCCTCCCTCCCACTCTGATCGAGTGAGCATAACTCGATCAAGAGTGAATGCGCCTTCTTGCTGTTTCCATCGACCTACCACTGAAGTTGTGATTTGATTAAATCCTCATCCACCAAATAGTCACCAAATATCCTGAGTGACCACCGAATCAGGGGCGGATCTAGCAAAAATATTGAGGGGGGCCAAATTATATAATGAAAAAATATAAATATTATATAAAAGAGTGCAAATACAAAAACATACCTTCATAGTTGTTCTTTACGAGTTTTTATGGCCTGATATCGCTCGATAATAACATCATTACTAATTTTCAAAAAGGTTTCCTTTTCTACATAAACTAGTAGTCTATCATTTAATCAATCTTCACTCATTCGATTGCTCAACCTATCCTTAGTAATATTCATTGCGGAAAATACTCGTTTCACACTAGTTGTTGCAACCGGCAAAACCAACGCTAAAGTTAAAAGTTTGTAAACCAAAGGAAACACCTTGTGCTTCTTCGTCTGCACCAACTTCTCTGCAAGTTCACCGAGTCCTTTCAATTCTTTAAACAAAGTTGAAGCGCATATCAACAATATAATTCTGCAACTGATCCTCAACAATAAGAACATCAGATATAGAAAAATCTTGAGGATAAAACCCGGTCATATTGACTAATTTCCCCTTGTCGAAAGCAGAAAAAGAATCTCGTGGAGATAAACAAGCTATACAAAGTAGCAACTCCGTACTAGCCTCCGAAAAATGATCATGTAATTCTTGTAGTTGCAAATCAATCACGACACAAAATAAATCCACTCGATAATGATGCAAATTCGTTATTTTGGGTGCATTACGAAGCGGACGACCGCGGGGATCAAAGCGAATAAACATGCTAGTCATATCCGGGACATCAATAGAATGTTTCTCACAAAACTTACAAACCTCGTCAAATAATAAATCTCATCCACTATCTCTCAACTCTTGAAGTCGATACCTACAAACTCTAACCAAATCCATTGCATTCACAATATCTTGGTCTCTCATTTGTAGCGCTTGGGACAACTCATTCGATATTCCCAAAATGTTTTTCATCATATGCAAATTTAGCACAAATTCAAAGCAATGAATCGACTTCAATAATATCTCCACCTCTACCTTTTGGATAGAAGTAGAATAATCATCTGCATAGATCACATCAAGTACATCACCCACAGGAGAAAATAAAGAAATCAAGCTAATCAATAAGATCTATAATGTGAGCCCCAACGTGTATCACCTGGTCGTTGAAGACTAGTTTCTTGGTTTATACTTCGTCCACTTGAAATCTCACCCCTTTCTAGTGCTCCGTCAATATAGATAATTTGTTTTTCTCGAAGAAGATCACAACGTTTAGAAGAAACCCCAACAACATTTATCAGTTGAGAAAGCACCCGAAAAAAATCAGCAATCGGAAGATTCTTTGTAGCCACAGCTACAAGGGCTAGTTGGAGCTAATGAGCAAAACAATGCACATAATGTGCACATGGATTCTCATTTAAAATAATTGTTTTTAAACCATTAAGCCTCCCTTGCATATTACTAGCCCCATCGTAACCTTTCCCTCGCAAGTTAGATATGCTTAATTTGTGTCTTGACAACATTTTGTCAATGGCGTCTTTAAGAGAAATTGTCGTAGTACTTGTGACATGTTCAAATCCAATAAAATGTTCTTTTACATGTCCACAAGAATCTACATATCTCAAAATGACAGACATTTGTTCTTTAGTTGATATGTCACGTGATTCATCAACCAAAATATAGAAAAAAGAATCCCCGACATCTTTCAATATCACATTAACAGTTTATGCGGCGCAAGCATATGATAAATCTTTTAAAATGCTAGGAGCTGTTAACTTCTAATTTTTAGGAGCATTTTCCATTGTCACCGAAGCAATGCCATCATTATGAGCTCTTAAAAATTCCAGAGTGACAAGAAAATTACCTGGATTAATGGAATCCTTTGACTCATCATGACCCCGGAAAGGTAGCCCCAATCGCAACAAATGTCGTGCACAATCAAGAGATACAGTGAGCCGAATGCGATAATCATCTCTCATTTGTTTAGAGTGTTTTTCTAGAGCTGTTTGAATGTGCACATTTTGATTCATCAATGCATCACAATTCATGTGCGCTTGATTGTGTTCACTATCATGTTTCCCGACATGAACATCAAGTCTCGACTTTTCTTTCAAAGATCTGAATCACTATGTAACAAAGGTTTCCCCTCCTGATTGTTTTCCTCTGTTTGGTATACAAAAATAACAATAGAGACAACATGCAGCATCTTTAGAAATGCTATACACCAACCACGCATGTTCATCATGGGAAAATGGTGATCAAACGGTTGACAAGGACCTTTCTGCAAATATGCTCTTCGAACTTGGTCTCTAATCTTTGGACAGTACATTGAGATTGGAATTCTCAACCCG